CGCAGGCTGTAGTTTGCCCACCTCTGCTCTAGACTGAGCACTGAGTCCCATTGGGTAGATAGAAAGATTCACCTAAATAATCTATACAGAAGCCCGAGGAACCCCAGAAGATTGGGTTCCTAATCCATGAACTATTGGAACTCATTTACAAAACTTTTCTTAAACATTACATGAATATATTGTCTCATACTATAGAATCAGAATTTATAATCCCTATTCCACGATGAGATATCTTTGAGCTATAATGTATCTTAATCAAAACTATCTTTAGATAGGTTTTTTCCTCAAAAAGCTTTTTATAAAAAAAAAAAATCAAATTTTTATTTATTTTTTTAAAAAAATCATTGAATTTTATCCACCCTGATTCAGAGGCTTTCTGCCTTCAAATTGAAATGCTACCGGCAATTGTTGCACGTTAGCTCTATCTCCTATATGACTAACGAGGAGGCAACTGCCCAAATGTACCGTATAAGTGGAGTGATACCCGACATTATCAAGACAATCAGACAAAGCAAACTTGAATTTGTGGGACATGGGAGCAGAGAAGATTGCCAAAGCAAGTTTTGCAGGAACTGGTGCCAGGGCAGGGGGCACCTGCTATGAATGTGATTCGACAATGAGACTCACTGGCTGGGACGCAGTATGGGACACTTCTCAAGGCTGTGTGAAGACGGCACATCATGGAGAGATGCCAATTCTTCCCATGGACTTGTCTTGTGTTTACTGTGCACTGTGATGACACTTTTGTCTGTGTCTGCTCCCTATGCATCCCAGGAGATTAATCTGCTAATTTTTAATGACAAAAATGAGTTTTGACTTCTATTAGGAGCACAGAGCCCATTCATTTGTGGGAGGGTAAACTGGATTCTTTCCTGCCTTGTGCATCTCCAAAAAGCTGCCAGGACCCCAGGGTGCCAGGGTGAAATTTGCCAGGGTGAAATTTGATCAAGGCTGATCAGGACTTAAGTCAGACTTAAATTGCACACAGGCCTCATGCTGGCAGAAAACCCATTGCTTTATTTGCAAACTGAGAACATCTGATATGGAGTCCTTGAGAAACAATCAACATGGAACACCCCATGGTATTATTTTTAGAGAATCATTTTTCAGGAGTATAACCACACTCGAAAACAAAGTCAGATTAACACCTATGAATGCATGCTGCTTGCACCTGCAAGAATTTCTCATTCGACTTAACCTTGTAATTTTATTCATTCATGAGGTCAACTACCCTGACAACATTTAAAATAATAATAATAATAATAATCGTAAGGCTTGAGATAAAGTCTCTGAAAGCAATGAGAAAAATAAGAGACTTCATCAGCACTCATTACAACCAAGTTATAATTGCTTCAATTTAGTCAAGTTCAGATCCAATGTACTAAACTTGAAAAGTGCCCTTGAAACATAATGAATTCAATAAAGAAAATTCTTATATGGTCTAAGTTAAATTATTAAAAAGGAGGAAAAGAAGGGTTCTTAATTATTTAATGTTTCACCAATAATTATATTGCTCAGTATAATATTCACTTACTGCGGAATCTGAGTTTAGAAGGAACTTGTGAATTTGTGAATATCAGTCAAGCACAAAACACCTACCAGACCATAAATTTGGTGTGGTACACACACAAATCCAGTCTAATACTGCATTAAAACCTTAGGAATAATTCAAGCCTTCATTTAATGGCAAACCCTAGCAAATCCATTACATGATATAATATTTATGTAGCAAAATAGGCACTATTTAATTTTCTTTTTGTATTTAAAAAACAAGCTTTGTCCCATAATTAATCCAACACTTAGAAACATATTCCTAGGTGGTGAAGAGAGAGAAGGCTTTGTTACTAGACAAAAACCAAGCGTCTAAAGAATTGAAAACTATGAGTCTAATATTGGAAGGGCCAGTAGTATCACAGAAAAAGCAGACAGGGACATCCCGGAATTTTCTGGGCGGAAGTTAGAAAACCATTCTTCAAGGTGACTACTTGCATATAGTTATTTAAAACATCAGGATAAGTAAGGTTATTTGCATAATGCCCCAAAGAATGATGTTAAGAGAAGTATTCAGCACCTAGTGGTAGAGAGGGAACCTTTTCTTCTTATTTTTTGGCCTAAGTCAGGATTCACTATCCCCCACTCTGTGATATGCCCCAGCATGCAATATGCAGCTAGATTACAACCAGAATAGAAGCCCACTGGAGCAAAGAAGGAGCCTTCAGAGAGCCAGGGGCGTTTCATATTTAGATATGCATCATGGTTTGCAAAGGTTAACAACAATTTACTCTCCTTGGGGATATCAATTTTAATTTTACACCCATTTATTTTGTCTTAAGTCAAATTGCAAAGGTCATCTGAAGCTTTTTCTTTCTATTCAGAACCACTGAAATACAGAAGATCCATATGTAATAATTTCCCTATCCCCTAACCCTCCAGCCCTGCAAAGACTTACACATGTGCCTATGTATCCCACTGGTCACCATGTGTCATGCATCCCTGATCCATAGAGGACAAAAGTCTTGTCCAGCTGACGCTATGTACCAGGGCTCTTTAGCTCAAGACACATGCTTTCAGCTCTAGAGACTCCCCAGTTGTTCAACCCCTAGTGTTGGCCAAGATTGCAGCTGTCATGCTTAACATTGAAGTCAATGGGGCTACTCCAGGTGTGCCGAATTCCGCACAACTTTAAATCTTTGCAGGATTAGGGCCCAGATAGCTAGACATTTGCACAGGTGACTTGTCATCCTTTCATACAGCTACCCAAAGGTAGTCTTCAAACAGATCCAAAAAGTGAATCATTAATGCATAACTGTTTATAATTCAAACTTGGAGGCAGAAAAAAAAATTCTTTGCAACTACAAGGCAGGCCTGTCATCAGGTCACTATGCCTCAGATTTAGCTTAGTCCCATTCTTTGGCAATGATTAGAGATATGGGAGAACATTCATCACATTTCATGGCTCCTGCAACACAGGAACCCAGCTGCATCATCATACAGATGTCACATCATTAAAGCCCTGCAGGGCTAGGAATCTGAAAAGTGTGGATTCCCTACTTCCCCCAAGGAGTCACAAGACTCAACTGGGCTCAAGATACCTTAAAATCAGGATGTTTTACAATACTGAAGCACTACCTTACATTATTTTTAGTGGGTTTTATGGCTCCCTCTGAGCCCTGTAAAGTGGAACTCACGGTAACTAAGGCACCTGGTTTTGCAAGTGGAGGAATACAAAAAATAATCACAGTGAACTTTTAAAGACATCTGAAAAAAGTTTCTTTTCCTCCTGACCACTTCCTATGCCTTTTCCACTTCTTGGGTAATGGGCAAAGGAGCCTCCGGGGCTCCACCAATTAGACACCAATCCATCCTGATCCACCAATTAGACACAGCTCTCCCTAATCAGGGCTACTCTAGAGCAGCTTTAGTAGCCCGAGGACCCCCATTTTGATTTAAAATTTTGCTGCAGACTCCCAAGCCCAACCCCCACTCTACCCCTCCCCCCGCTCCAACCCTGCCACTCCTCTTCCCCACTTCTTTCTGCATGCACATTTCCACTGAAGTCAACCCAATGGAGTATGACAATTTATACCAGCTGGGGAGCTGCCCCCTTCTCTTTTCCATGGAATGTGGTCAAAATCAAAGGAAGGAGAAGATAAGCCATATTTACTTTGGGCAGCGAAGTCAGGTCTGCCCATCTAACAAAGAAGACAACACATGTATACCCATGTGTCCATATTCCTTTCAATTGAACAGAATCGTCTCTTCTTGCAATCACATATCATATGTTTTAATTCAGCTTCACAAAAGTAATAAAAAGCTCAACCTGCTCTTCAGGACAAACCCTCTACTTTTCCAAAGGTGTGCAATGCCTCTGAAACTCATTAGAGAAACAGGATGTACCATGAGCTTTGTTGTTCTTCTGAAAAAGAAACATTGTGTAACCCACACACCTTCAGGGTGTGGTGTTCTGTCCCCTCTAGTGGCACCGAGACCATGGGGGGAGGGAGGAAGCGAGAGAGAGAGAGAAATGAGTCTGCTCTACATTCTCATCTAAGAGCCGGTTTGCTTTTAGCTCATGCAGTCGAGGCTCATACACTAAGCTCCAGAGGTCACAGGTTCGATTCCGCCTGCCAACGACCAGGGTCTGTCGGTGTTACAACTGCACCTGGCATTGGCCAGTGTTGGAAGACAGGATACTGGGCTGGACAGACCATTGGTCTGACCCAGTATGGCTGTTCTTATCTTTAGTTGTTTCACATTGTTCATTAGATACTACCCTGTTTGTGACAGCCCAGTGGTGTAAAGTTGCTTCAGCACACTCTCCTCAATTTATCCACCAGTCAGAAAAGTAAAAGCTCTCTTCTGATGTAAAAACAAACAAGCCCACGATGCTGAACACCATCTCAATTTGACGTGACCTGCCAGCCATCACACGCAGCAGTCTCTGTAAAGGACTGCAGGGCTCAAGTGTGCCGAACCAATGAATGAACATTAATAATCTTGAAAATACATTTTAAAACAAGAAATGCATAAATTCACAGAGTTGGAAATGTGGTCTTCCCAAGAACTTGTTACCGTGGCAATTCAGAATAGGAGACTACTACTGAAAAATTGACTGAAGTTATTGATTAATCTGCTGGCAAATTATGTCTGAGTTTAAAATTTTCTACAAACAGAAGCACTTCTATATAAGTCTGTTAACATTCTGAGAACCTGAGCAACATGCTTCAGCAGCGAATTAAGTTCCATGATAAATGTGCTCTCCAATCTGTGCACAAGTCAAGTAGCTATAAAATCAGAATAATTCATGCAAAAATTTTCATTATGTTTCTAAATATACTTATTTACATTTTAAATCACACATTAGACAATATGAAATATCTTTCATTTAGACAGGTGTGAATGAGAAAACAGATGCATCCATTAAATAAGAAACAATTCAATGAATAAAAAAGAGTTGGCGACCTCTTTAGTTTTAGCGCTTCAGCCACCGTTTAACTTACTTGAAAAAACACAGCCATGGCTCCTATTATCCGATTTTCTAAAATTGCTGCTCCAAAACTGTCAAAGTCGTCAGGATTGTAGAAGTAAATCTGCATCTGTAAAAATTAACACAATCAAATAAATTGTCTATTCCTGTAACTTTTAACTGAGGCGACATGCTGCCCTTCTATCAGATGTTACAAATCCAAGATAAACAATATTACACAGCAGAATTCCTTTAACTAGCGTTTTGATTAACAGCATGGCTGCTTTACTAGGACAGTAACCAGGGACCAGATTCAAGGCAATGAATTTTAATAACAAACCAAAAAGAAAAGGAGTACTTGTGGCACCTTAGAGACTAACCAATTTATTTGAGCATGAGCTTTCGTGAGCTACAGCTCACTTAAGCTCATGCTCAAATAAATTGGTTAGTCTCTAAGGTGCCACAAGTACTCCTTTTCTTTTTGCAAATACAGACTAACACGGCTGTTCCTCTGAAATAACAAACCAATGGATAAACAGCGCAGCCGGCCTGTTTAGGTGGCACACCCGTTTTCTGCCAGCATGTTCACATTTCTTTATTCATTACAGGCTTTTCTACAGTTCTGTTACAGCTGCTAAACAAGTTTATCTTGAAAATCTTTAAGGTTTTTCTTAAAAACAGCATTTTAATGTAGAGCGTTACTTTTTTATTTCTAAAGCAATTCATGAGATAAAAAAAGAGTATCAGTATCAATGCATTTTTGTGAGCCTCTGATAATCAGGACTGTCAGTTAGTTCCATACTTTTCCCTGACTTCAGTTAAACATCAACCAATTTTGCCTCAAGAGCTCCAGCATATGGAAGAATTATGACTGAACAGCGCCTTCACACCTACTCATGTACACTGACTATCGTCACCACATTGATTAGTGTGTTCCAGTGGAAAGAGCACTGGATGAGGAATCAAGAGACCTAGGCTCTATTCCCAACTCTGCCACTGGCCTGCTGGGTGACCTTGGGCAAGTCTCTTCACCATTTCCTTTGCCCATCTTTGCTATTTAGATTGTAAGCGCTTCAAAGCAGACACTGTTTCTTACTATGCATCTGTACAGTGCACAGTTCTGTCAGTTCCTAATCCCAAGGGCCTACGGTAACACGGGTAACGTACATGCTGGTTCTGACAACGTTTCTGCCCTTCCCTGCTCTCTGACGGTTCTGAGAGACGGCTTGTGCTCTTCTGAGATCACGCTGTGGAACAAATCCTATCATCACTTCGGCATGCGTGTCAGTGCATCATGCTGCCTCAACAGGCAGGTTTCCACTACAACCATGTCAAAGGCACATTTAGCCTCCTCGAGTGAAAAATAAATCGTAATTATCTTCCTGGGATAGTTACCAGACATGTTCAGTGATTCCCAGGGTTCTGGCAGCATACACTGGTTCTAAAGGTGTGAAACTACAGTAACACCTGCAGACCTAACGAAGCATTATCATGGGGAGAAAAGAAGAGGCCAAGATGAGGATCAGTCTCTAACAGTGGAAATGAAGAAAGAAAACTACTTTTCAAATGGTTCACAACAATTGTTAAAATCCACTGGAAAATACCCTAACCTGGGAGTGACGGAGGGTGATTTCCTCTCCCCCGGCCCGACCTCATATACCAGTGTATTTACAGAGCTCAGAGATTCTGGCAGTGTCTTACAAATGTAGTGCCTCCAGGCTTGGCCAGCTTTTGACTTGAACAAACAGACTGAGAAACATCCAGTCATTGATGTTGAAATTAAAAACAATTCATTTTAGGTTGAATTGCTTAGGGTTCATTTTAACTTTTACAGACAGAAGCTCACTAGACATCGTAAATTACATTTTACTTCCCCTTAAAACAAACAGACTACAATTGGGTATTCCTCACATAAAAAATTTTAATATACGGTCCTCATCTGAGTTTATGAAGGAAAGTATCGTTCAGTGTGTTCAGTTATAAGCCAAAATCATTATAGACCATCTTTGCTCATAATATTTTAAGGAAATTAACTTTTATAATAGACTTTTGGATAACAGTGCAAATGACTTTGGTGAAATGGTCGAGTTGAGATCCTCCATCTCAGCACTGCAACTGCAGAGTCTAATCAACAGTATATACCTGCCTGATTACCACGTGTTGAAACATTTTCATGGAGCTCCCCTGGTGTCTTTCCACAGAGGGCAGTGCTCTTACCTGTATCAGTCAAATCAAGGGGAACTGTACTGTATGAAAAAGTATTTTCATTTGTCACCCACTAACATGCCTACATGAGCATATGGCTGGAAGGAATTTAGGAGTAGAGTCTTCCAAGGAGTGCCATAATTTATATGTGCATGCATCACACAGAAGTAGTGTTAAGAGGAAGATAACACGGCCATGGTTAATTACTCAAATTTCCACAGTTAAACTGCATGTGAAACCTGGTATTTTGACACAGTTTGATCATGTGATCACATACTACTTCCTCCCATAATACAATATACTTTTTTCAGCAACTTCAGATACATGTGTAGCATATTTTCATTTTTTTATACTTAATGTGTGTTCCATTATCAGAATGGTCTTGTATAATATTATTATGAAACATGTTTATTACAGTGGTATCTGAGGACCAACCAAAGCTTCACTGTGCTAGGCCCTGTACAAACCCAGTAGTAGACTGTTCCTACTCCAAAGAGCTTACAATCAAAATAGACAAGACAGACACAGAGTGGGGGAAGGGGTAGAACACACCAGCAGAACAAACAGAGATAGCAGCTAATGGCAGGTTAATTCCATGATGAGTTGTTTATTTTTTTTGGCCAGGGCGGGGGTCATTAGGAGGGGATCAGCTAAATGGAAAGCAAAGGGGAGGGAGAAAAGATATTGTAGGGAGCTGGGGTGAAGAAGCCAACGCAGGGGAGAAGGGGGACAAGTGTGGAGTGAAGCTGAGGTAGAGAGACTGGGCGATGGGAGGGTTGAAGCAAACAGCTAAACAGCACAGGGTAGAGAAGTCCAGCAAAAACTGCAGGACGTTTTCTGAACATCCGAAGGTCCATACTTTGGCTGCTCCTGCCAGCTGGAGTCTGGCAGATCTTCACTAATAGACATTTTAACCTAACGTTTTCTATCAGCAGCACAGACTTCCTTAACTACAATTCAGAGAAAAGACAATTAGCTATAAAGCTAACTTCACTGCATACATAGGTGACATAAATATGCCAGTAAATTTTCACTATTGCTCATTGTTATATGCTTAATATGTACAATGTGCTGTGCCCTTTAGGTATAAATGATTTTCATGGACTCCGTCTGGCACACATGGACCATGACTACAAGATACTACAAAAGTGTACTGAATGTTGCAGAAAAATGGTATCTTATTATAATGGCATATATGAGCACTAGAATATGCATGAGGGAGCAGAGTTAAGGTTGCCTGTGTAACCTTAATTGTGACATTCCCTGACTTTTGAGTGCTACAGTAGGTAGCCCAAATGCAGGTTTTTGTATGCTACGGGGGCTATTGCTTTATTCTGGGGGGGGGGGGGGGAAATGTGGGTAGTAAAAAACATAAAAAGCAGCAGCTTATTCTCCCAGACTCTGAACCTCTTCACACTTGGAAGAATCTGACAATCTTTATAAGTATAAATTCCACAATCTGAAACTATTTGGTTAGACATCACTAGAGTGCCGTGTTCCATGTAGCCTTCTTGACAGCTTTACAGCCAAAAGCCTTCCCCAGTGACAGGTCCTTCAGGCAAGAAGAGCCGTGCTGCTTCTCGCCCAAAATACTAGGTTTACACCAACCTTTTATGACTCCTTAACTGCTTACAAAGTCAGCAGGGGCCTAAATGGACCTTCAAAACATTTCACTATGTGGCTCACACATGCAGCATAAGTTTCCGTAGCTGCATGTTTTACATGCCTTGCAAACATTTCTCATGCAAACTGCACCATACACGAGCAGCATGAAATTTTCAGTGGCTAACTTAGTCAAATCAAAGCAAAGCTTCACTGGAACACACAGAGGCAAGTCTCCCCTCAGAGGGTTACTTCCTTGCCAGTCTTCTCCCCAGAACTGCTTTGGTTGCAAAAATTTTCTTATAATGGGAAAAGTTTATATTTTTCACTCCCCCTGTACTTGGAAATGGCTGGATTGTTTTTTCTCAGACTTGAGAAAGATTCATTTTGCAGGAGAAATCAAGCCTGAGTTACAAGTGAATGAAAACAGGGTTAGAGTGAAACCCCTCATGTAACATTAACCCTAGATATTTTTGTCCATACCACAATGAAATGTGGTATGTTCTGTAGGCTGCTAGCCTGTTTCCCAGCCCAGAAAATAATTAGTACCATACCCAGGATCTGCTCAGGTGCTTCTTCAGTGCACCATTTATCAGTGGCATCAACAGTCTTCCCCACAGTGCAACATAAATCCAACAATCTAACCCAGAGCTTCCTTGCCAGATCCTCCCTGCTCCTAGCAACTCTTCCCCAGTCCCTTTACTCCAGGGCCTACCACAAAAGCCAACCTACTTCCTGCAGCTTCCCTCTCAGATGGCACTTTCTGCCTTTATACGAGTCAGGTGCACATCAGCCAATCACCCAACCAATTCCAAACTACCAAGGCCAACCTGTTCTTAACAAGGTTCTCCCTCAGAAGAGGACTGCTGCTGGCCCCAGGCTCTTCACGGGACAGGCCCTCCTGGTACATGTTTACACACAGTTCTTAATGCACATTTAATGTCTGTTTATCAATTTCTGCTGATTCTAAACCTCTCTCAAAGTACATCTCACCCGATTACACCTTTAAAATAAGGTCTGGTGTACCCTGGAGACTTCTGCCCTTGGTCTTTCAATATGGCATAAGGAGTGGTTTTTAATTTCTGTTTGGATTGTATCTTTTAGATCTGCTTTCAAGACAGAAGAGCTACAGATAGGCATCCCCATTGCCACAGATGAGGGCTGCAGAGGAGAAGAGTTTACATATAGTACGGACACTCTCAGTTAACTTCTTGCAGCACAGACGAAAGTAAAACAAAGATGAGTATTAAATGGAGCCCAAAGGGTCCAAGAAAATTTAAAGTGATTGTGGAACCCAAGCAATGAGACTTGGCCAGGTGCCAA